TAATTTTGGTAAAAAAAAAAAAAAATTTAAAAAATTTTTTCAAATAAAAATTTTTTCCCCAAATGCCCTAAATGATTATATGAATATGTTTAATTTTTTAGATTGATAATCTTTTTTAAATTTTTTTTAACCGTAAAAAAAAAAAAAACAACAATTTATCACAAGAACAATAACTAATATCGTAAAGCGTAAAAAAACTTTCTATATACATATTTGTATGAAAAAACTAAAAAAACTTGGGGACCTTTTTTAAAAAAAGGAAAATTCATTATAAATGATTATTGATGATTTTTAATAATTATCATCATAATTGTCATCATCAATCATTATTATTTAAAAAATCTAGTTTTTTTTTCTAAATAATCGTTATAAGTTATTATTAATAATATAATGTAATAATACAAAAAAATAATACAAAATAATACAATATGTAATACTTAACTAAATAATAATAATTACAACATGTAATACAGTTTACAAATAATCATCAAATAAATTAATCTTTTCCCTTAAACCTTTTCTCACAAAAAAAAGTCGCGTACTCTTATAGTAAATTACCTTTTATGTCTATTTCAAAGTGATGTATAAATTTAAACCTTTTTTTATTCACAATGACAATTTTTTTCTTAATAATTTCCCCATATTTGAAAGAATCTTATGGGAATCTAATTTCTTTTTGGGAAATTTCACACTCCATTGTAACATTAACTATGATCATTAAAAAAAAAGGGTTTTTTAATTTATACGAAAATATAAAATCATTTAATCTTGTGCAACACTTAAAAATCAAGTTTAATATCTCGTAATATTTGATAATATATATTTGATTTTTTTTTTTTTTTTCTTTTAGGTTCACCGGGCCTTTAATTTTTCAGGTTTTTTTTAAAAAAAACCGTAAAAAAATTCACCGAAATTAACTTAATTAGATTAATTTAATCAGCTTGTTGAATAAAGTTGTTTAACGCGTCTAATTGATGTAATTTGATGTAATTTACATTATTATAATATAATTATTTAGAATATATATATTAAATATCTTATTATCTTAAAATAAGATAGGATATAAAATATAATATATAAATGTAATATATAAATGTAATATATAAATGTAATATATAATAAATAGAATTATATAATATAAAATCGAATATATAATATATATTATATAATAATAAGTAGTTTAAATAGTAAATAATATATATTAATAAAGATATATTAATAAATAAATAAATAAATAAATAAAATAATAAATAAATAAATAATAGCTGAATAATATAATAATGACAATAAATGAACAAATGATGATGTTATGAACTTATGATAATTTGTATATATAACTATACTTACTCTGTACTTACTACTGTACTTACGAACTGTACTTACGTCTGTACTTAATATTTTATCTATTTTATCTATTTTATCGGAAATTATTAATTCCCATTTTCCAGTTCCCCACCTTTCCATCATTCTCCCCATGAAAAATTGGCATTTTCCCGTAATAATTACGTTTAGGTAAAAACGGTAAAAAAATGTAAAAATGTAAAAATATATAGTTTCCGAATATTCTATTAATAAGGGTTCCCTTGATATTAATGTATATTAAATCAGTTATTTTTAAAATAAATAAAAACGCCAATAAAAATAAAAAAAAAACAAACATTACTGGATAGGGATAAACAATTTACTATATATTGATGAATATCATAAACAAAAAAATAAAAATCGCGTTTTTTTCTTTTTTCAAATGGATATCATATCCCAATTGGATAACATATTCCGTATAACTAACTATATTTAAAAATTACAGTTCGATCATTCAAGTATGTCGATAATAAAAAATACGCACGGATCAAGAAAAATGACATTTCAATAATTTAATAAAATAATCCCCCTCATTTTTTTTCATCAAGATATTTAAGGATATTCAAGATATTTTTTTTTTTTAGATTGAAATTATTCCGATTTGTAATTTAATTTTTTTTTGTGTTTAAATTTCTTGTTTGACAAAAGACGCGATATTTTATACAGATTTTTGTCCTTTATTTGTTGCCTTTTTAATATACTGATTGTACGAATAAAAATCCGGGTAAAAATCAGTAAATTAATAAAAATAATAAAAAGAATATATATATATAATAATACGGTATATACATACTGTATATATAATAAATACATATATATAATAATACGATATATCAATATATATATAATAATACGACATATATATATAATAATAATACGCTATATGTATATTATTTATTTATTTTTGAATTGTTATCCCATTTTTCACATTTTTGCTATCACCGTGATTTTCTCAACATCATAGATTTAACGATATATATTTATGTTGTAACCTGCGTAATCTGCAGGATAAATAGGGTAAGAATTAAAATAATTAAAATAAGACAATATTAATTGTAAAAGTGCAAATTTAAATTGTCGCGTATTCTTTAAATGGGATACACAAGATTACTATGACAATGAAATTGCTGAAAAATACGTCAAAAAAAAATTGATGTAAAAAATTTATTTATCGTGAATTCATAACGCCCATTTTTATTAGCAATATACTAAAAAATTACTATTATACTACTGATAATTTTATATGTACTGTATATATATTATTTTTTAATAAACTTGTAAAACATTAAATAACTGATGTAAATATTAAATATTTTAAAATATACTTTACTGTACACTGTACATATCAAATAGTATCGATAGTAGCAGAATTTTTTTAAGTAATTTATATCCAATAAATTAAATAAATTATAAGATAAATGATAAATTCTATATATACAATATCATATAAAGTACACAATAATACTATGTTAAACTTGAAAAAATTTCATTCGCTTATTCGCATAAAAAAAGAAATAAATACATGTAGATTATCTTTGGCTGAGATTTTTCAATGATCATCAAGACCCACCTTAAAATTTTAATTCCTACCAGATTTATCGGATTTATCAGATTTATCGGCTAACCCAGGTCTAAGAAATTTTTTAAAAAAAATTGTCTTATTGTCTTAGTAACTATAACTTGTAATAAACTTAACTATATTTTGTCTATATATTGTAATAAACAAACAATTATATCTTGTAATAAATCTTGTAATACACAATTATATCTTGTTATTAAACCGGAGAGTTTATAAGAGTTTATAAAAGTTTATAATAAAAGCACATTATAATCATTATAATCATTATATTGATTATAATCTAGTTCTGTTGATATCCAAGCAAACTTGACTATAAAGAGAATTAATAGAATAATTATACTTTAAAATATTTATAGAATTGTCCAGTTATATATTGATTACTTTGACGTAATTTATATATACAGTATATAATAAATATAAATATCACTATAAATTTTATTTCCCGAGATGAAATTTATTTTCCGAAAGATGAAAAAAATATCCTGATTTTTTTATTATAATAATTCAAGTTAAATGTTTTATGTATGCGCTAAAAAAAAAAAATTCTCTTTTTAATTTTTTATGTACTGTTACGCGACATCGCGACATCATATGATTAATTTATAGTATAAAAAACGTTAGTTTATGATAGTATCAAAAATAAGCTTAATTAGCTTAATTATAGTTTAAGTGATATTATAAACGGGTTTAAACTGTTTTTCAACTATTCCTATTGCGAAAAAAAAAAGTGTACAAACTTTTTCCAATTTCCAATTTGTCAAGTTTCAATTATTCCTATTACAAAAAAAAGGGTACAACTATTCCAAATTGTCAACTATTTCTGTTGACGAAAAGTGTACAACTATTCCAATTTCCAAATTGTCAAAAAAGTGTACATCTATTCCAAATTATCAAATTTCAACTATTCCTATTGCAAACCAGTACACAACTGTCAACTATCTCTATTGCAAAACAAACAGTACACAACTATTCCAAATTGTCAACTACACTATAACTATTCCGAATTGTCAAATATCACCTATTTTTCCCTTAAAATCCTAAAAAATCATGACATCTGATAACAACGCGTCCATCTCAAAACTTGATATTCATCTTATAAAATTAGATAACGCATATAGACAATTATATATAGGATTAATCCTTGATTCAGATGTTATATATTTAAAAAATAATCTTCCATGGTATTCTTATTATTATAAAAAATATTCAAAATATTTAAATTATTGGGATTTAATTGATGAAATATTAAAATTACAATCATTATTAATATTACAAAAATCTTTTAATAATATTATAAAAAAACAAATTCAAAATACTTTATTAAATGGTTATATACAATTTGCTTCAACTTTTTGGGTTGAAGAATTATTATGGATTAAAGATTCAAATTATTTAATACCAAATCAAGATGATTTATTATTATTATATAAAGATTTATGTAATGAAATTCTTAGTATTAGATTATGGTTAAATTTTATTAATGATAATTTTCTTATTTATAGAAATGAAAATCCTAGAGGTTTGGAATTTCTTGAAAGTTTTGATGGAAAATCTTTAAAAGATTTATTGGAAGATTATAGAAATATTGTTTTTAATGATGATAATAAATTAAATGATATTATTCTTGAAGAAATTGGTCATATTAATTATAATTCTTTTACTGATTATTATTTGGAAATTTTAAAGATTTTATTGGAATATTTTATCAAGTATTCAAATGATTATCTTTTATCTTTACAATAACCTACTTTGTAGTTTGTAGTAAAAAGGGAAGTCTGTAACTGAAGTACTACGGTTAGTACGGTATATGCTGGATATTATATATCAAAGACTGCTGTATATGCTGGATATAATACTATTGTATATGTTAGATATTATAAATAATGCTCTATTATAACGCTATTTTAATTGAAGTCATCATAATTGGGTTTAAAAATTATTCGTTTATTTTTGTTGAATCTCAGTAGCAAAAATATATTACATATTTATAGGGCTTCTCGCAAAAAATAGATTTTTTGTAAAAGACTTTAATAGCAGACTCTAAAAAAAAATAAGTTCTAGGACATCTTGCGAATCAGACTGGCGATACATATCCTACATACCCTTAAAATAGTGGAACAAAAAAGTCATTGAGATACTACAAGTGGCATGATATGATCAAAGTTCATTTAACTAAATTGATATCATGAATTTAGTCTAGAATTTAAAGATGAAATTTTAAATCAACTAATTAAACGGATATTTATATACTATTCATTATATTTGGATATTTACATATGCCGTAAGAAACAGCATTATCTATTCAGCCTATTATAAGTCTCGCTTCCTTAAATTAATAATCCGATATGTACGCTGTACAGTTGAAGCTTAAAGCCTTTTGAATTGATTATTCAGCTTTAACTCTCGTAATCGGTCACTTAGATCAGTGCCAAATTTGTATCTCTTTCGAAATTGAGATTTCATGTCAAATTTTCAAATTAGTGATTTTCCAATATTTTACAAACAAAAGTGTGCTTTCCGGATAAATCCTTGAAGTTGTTCCAAATACAGTAAATAAAAGAGTTGGCCAAAATGAGACGGCAAAGATGTCATGAAGAAATCAATTGTTTAGCTTTAAAATCAAATAAGTGATGTGGGGCCTGAATATGTTAGATTATATGAATTTCTAAACATGGGACTCGAAACCTCTGAAAGTTTCGGGTTTCGGAATATACGAATCGAAATCTCACCCGAAACTCTAAACAAATTCCAAAACCAGAAACTAATTTCGGTTATCTTAAAACCAATCCCGATATTCTGGAATTAATTCTGAAACCAACCCAATTCCCGAAACTCACGGATTAAGTTTAATCACGCGATAATCCAAATATTTAATAAAGATCGATATTTGATAGATCGATGTTTGATAATCATCTTATTTTTAAGACTTAATTTAGAGGTCTTTTTCTTCTTTAAATAATAATGTTGGCTAGTTTACCATCAAATTCAAAAAAAACAGTCTGCAAATAGTACCGGTGGACGTCCAAAAAAGCCTTTCTTAAGCAAGGAGACGATCAGACGAAATAGACAAAAGTCACTATGTTGCAAGTAACTTTAATTCATGATAATTTAATTTTATTAATATAATCTTATGTAACAAACAAAGCGAACTAATAGGTTTCGGTTATATTTCGGTATATAAATGTCTTGAGAGTTTTGGGTAGATTCGGAATTCGGGATCCGGAATAATAAATGCAGGTTCTGAAATTAAGTTCGGTATATACCTAAACCTAAAGGGTTTCTGGATGTTTAGACTCATAAACTAAACGAGTTAAAAAAAATTTATATTAATTTTATTTTCTTTCAATACCCACAGTAGCAGTACAAACAAAATTTATTATATTTTTATGTACATTTCATGTTTTTCAAATATAGGAAGCGATTTCTTAGAATCTTATTACTGTGTTTAATTTTAGTTGTCAACTAATACTACGGAATTTTATTTCATTTAAATAAAAATACTGTAATAAATAAAACATAAATAAATAACAATATACATTATCATAACAAATCATCTAATCAGCTTCCAATTTAAAAGTGGTAATATATCTTTGTCCATCAGTTTCATTCTTTACATTGACAGTAATCTCCATTTGTCCAAAGGTAAACTCAAATAATAGCCTATCAAGGAGGCCTGAACCAGGAAGATTAACAACAAGTTTTCCCAAAAACCGCATACCAGGTTCATCGCAATATTTTGCATTATATTCTTTAGTAAAAAATATATTAAAACTTATTCTGGTTTGGAGAGGAGAAAGTGGTGTAAAAAATGTTTTAACTGTTTCATTTGTTTCAACCTGAGTACCACGTCTAGCTAAACAATGAAATCTAACAATGCGTCCATTATGAAGTTTTCTACTGATTGGATCTCCGTCCATCTAAAATAATGTAAAATAAGAATTCCTTGAAACAGTTTATATAAGTTTATATATAAGATTAAATATCAAATATAAAATACTTTACCCAGTAATTTACTACTTCAATACCGTAAGTATATTTAAGGATTCTTGTAGAAATAACATTGCCTTTTTTTAAAGATAATCCATACATTACAGCTCCACGTGAAATTGCTGCAATAGGACGCGTAGGTACACGGATATTTTTTACTACATGTTGAAATTCTTGTTCAATCCTTTTTTGTAAATATTTTGATTCACTAAAACCTCCAGCTAAAAAAATTGCAGAGCATTCTTCTTGAATGCTATCAAGTTGTGAATGTATCAAACTAATAATTCTACTGATAACAGGATCAAACATTGCTTTTATAGCATCACAATCGATTTTAATAAGAAATTCAGTTTTTTCCAATTCATCTTTGGTTTCCTCACTGATATATTCTAATAGAATTGGAAAATCTTCAATATCTAGCTCATACCCATAATCTTCTCTGTTTCCTGTGAAAGGAAATTTTGTAATTTCGCAGAATTCCTGAACTATATATTGAAGGTGGCCGTAATGATTTTCTGTTAATAGATCTATGGCCTTACTTCCAAGTTTTTTACGTAAAAAATTGATAAATTCTTTATCAATAAATGTACTTCCACAGAAATCTCCAGCACGTTCGGTAATTTCACAGTACCACCACCACAGTCAACTATCATGAAATTTGCTAAGTTTAATAATAAGAAAATCGATTTAGTGAATTTTTTTAGAATATTAGACATATGAAAAATGTACATAACCTACATCCTATTGTTAGTATGTTATCTTTTCCCATATCATTCAAGCAATTAATTGCTACTGCTTCAGCTGTGAAAAAAATTATATCACTCACATTAACAAAGTAATAATATTTAATGGTCCTAATATATGTTTTAACCAACAAAATAACTGATGAAGATCTAAAAATTTCCTTGCTTACGTTCTGTAATAAATCGTAAATTTCTTGAGTATTTTTCTCCAATCAATCCTGCATTAAAAACACAATCTCTCATAATAGCTATTTCTTTGTTTGAATATTCTGCAGGAATAGTAATAACCAATAATACATGTCGAAAGAAATCGGCAGGTGATGACAAGCGTACATCAATTGTCTCTTTGATTACCTTATAATTTAATTTATTTAGTAAATAATTTAAAAATTAACAATAAATAATATTATAAATTATATTGAGGTTACCTCTCCAATTTTTCTAAGATAGTCAGTAATAGCCTTTTTATAGCATAATTCCCTTGGAAGGTAAGGTTTCTTATTACAAGTTAAATGCAATTTAAATAATTCGACTGGTCTTGTTTCACTTTCATTCTTTTCCCTTTGATTTTTTCGACTTGGTCGTCTAGCTAGTGCAGGATATCCCCACGTTTCAACATTTATAAATTTAGAATCATATTGAAGTACTGTATTTGTTTTCAAATACCCCATTATATCAGGCCATTGATTATTTGTAATAATATTTTTCGGTTCAGCAGTATGGCAATAAGAGAATCCAGAATAAGTTGTTCCAAAGTCTAGTCCAACCACGACTTTGATATTGTCTCCTAAATTAATTTTTTTCATTTTAATCACAAATAATTATTTTTTTTAAAAAATTACAAAAAAACATTTATTACTACGTACTTTCGTTAGAAGAACCCCTTGAGTGTTCATTTTCTGATCGATTACTTTTATCTTCAGATGAAAATGGAACAGAGCCAGAGGGATCATCAATATGTTGGATAAATTCCTTGTCTTTAATATCATCATCAATTAAAGGAAATATTGTAGGCTTATTTTTTTCTTTAGAATTTTTAGAATTCTTAATATCATTTTCATTTTCTTTAGAATTTTTAGAATTTTTCATATCATTTTCATTTTCTTTAGAATTTTTAGAATTTTTAATATCATTTTCATTAACTTCATTTAATTCATCCAATTCCAACTTTCCCAAGGCTTTTTCCAAATTTTGAGAAAATATTTCAAGTTGTTCATTTTTTTGTTTTTCTAAATTTATAATATGTTGTTGAAATTGTTTTTCTTTCTTGTTAAAATTTTCTTTTAATTTTTTATTCTCTTCTTGAAGATTTTTATAATCTATTTCGTTAAATTTATCTTGAAGATTTTTATATTGTTGTTTAAGCATTTCAATTTCTCCTAATAAATTTGTTTTTTGTTTTTCTTGATTTAAAATACGTTGTTTTAAATCCATATTTTCTCCTTGAAGATTTTTACATTGTTGGTTAAGCCTTTCATTTTCTCTTAATAAATTTGTTTTTTGTTTTTCTTGATTTAGAATACGTTGTTTTAAATCCTCATTTTCTTCTTGAAGATTTTTATAATCACTTTCATCAAGTTTTTCTTTTAATTCCTGATGTTGCTCTTGAAGATTTTTATAATGTTGTTTAAGTTCTTTATTTTCTTCTAATAAACTTGTTAATCTATTATTTAATTTATCAAATTTCTCCAATAAATTCATGATTATTTTTTTTTCGTAATGTGGTTTCACATTTACAGTATATATGAATTAATGATCGGCGAATTATCACGTGTACCTAATTACGTAAATGATCGGCTCTATATTAAAGAAATTAGTCAGAACATGATTGTTAAATAGCTTTCGAAACCAGGTTTTTTACAGCATGAGTACCACTTTAAATTTGGTTGGCAAAACTAAATTAAAAGTTAATTTGATGTCTCAAACATCGGATTATCAGGGAAGACAAAAATCTCTTCTGATTGGCGCGGACACGCATATATTTAGGAAATCGCGTGTTATAAAATAATGTATAAATAAAAGTCAATTTATGATGATAAGTAAAACAACACCGACTTCAAACACAGAAAAATTGTTTAGCAAATGGAAAGCAAAAGTTAGAGGAAGATTTGGAAATTCGTTTATTCATTTTGAAACTATTGGAAGTCATTATAATAATAATTAAATTTAATATTATTTTATTTCATTCTTTACATTGACATTAAATTTCAAGGTAAACTCAAATAATAGTTCACTAAGGTGTCTTTGAACCAGAAAGATGAACAACCAAAAACACATCATACCAGGTTCATCACAATACTTTGCATTGTATAAAGTGGTTTAAAACTTACTAAAGTTTTAAAGTAATGAAACTTCGAAATTTGTGTAAAAAAATTGTAACTTTTTGATTTTTATACCAAGTCTAGCTATACAATGAAGGTCCGTCTGTCATAAACTGAACGAGTTAAAAAAAATTTATATTAATTTTATTTTCTTTTCAATACCCACAGTAACAGTACAAATAAATTTTATTATATTTCTATGCACGTTTCATGTTTTTCAAATATAGGAAGCGATTTCTTAGAATATTATTACGTATGTAATTTTAGTTGCTAAAAATTATTTAATTAATACTACGGAATTTTATTTCATTTAAATAAAAATACTGTAATAAATAAAACAAATAAATGTGTTTAACCCTTTTTTGTAAATATTTTGATTTACCTAAAACTTCCAACTAAGAACATTACAGAACACTCTTTTCGAGCATTAGAAAGTTGTGAATGTATCAACTTAATAATTCGATCAACAATAGGATCAAACATTGCTTTTATATCTTTATATTCAATATCGACAACCCATTCATTTTCTTTTATGTCTTCCTTGTCTTTACCCTTGATATATTGTAATAGAACCGGAACAGTTTCTTCGATTTCTAGCTCATAAAGTCTATATTCGCTTGGATCTCCTGTGAAAAGTAATTTTACATTTCGACAGAAATCTTGAATCATGTATTGAAATTGGTCATAATAATTTTCTCTTAATAAACCTATGGCATTTCTTCCAAGTTTTCTATGTAAAAATTTAATAAATTCTTGATCAATAAATGTACTCCCACAGAGATCTCCACTACGTTCGTAAACTTCACTCATTTTGTTATTTTCAAGTAACTTGCGAGTAGTTAAGTCTACAGTAACACCATCACAGTTAACTACCATAAAATTTACTAAATTTAATAATAAAGAAAGTCGATTTAATGATTTATATTAAAAATATTTGACGTATGAAAAACTACATCCTATGTCATCTTTTCCCATATATTTCAAGCAATTAATTGCAACTGCTTCAGCTGTGAAAAAAATTATATCACTTACATTAACAGAGTAGTAATATTAATGTGGTCCTAATCTGATGGAAATTCAAAATTTCTTTTACTTACGTTCTGTAGTAAATTGTAAATTTTTTGAGCATTTTTCTTCAATTAATCGTGCATTAAAAACACAATTTCTGATAACGGCTATTTCACTGCATGAATATTCTGCAGGAACAGTAGAACAAATAATACATTTTGAAAATTAATGCCTGACCAGCGTTGTGCAATGGTTGCTTCAATCAACTTAAATTTAAATTAATAAATAAATAATTTAAAAATTAACAATAAATATGTATATAATCTGAGGTTACCTCTCTAATTTCTCTAAGATAGTCAGTAATAGCTTTCTGAAAGTATAGTTCCTTTGGAAGGAATTATGTGAGTTACTTCGATTTGGTCGTTTAGATAGTGCAGGATAACCCCACGTTTCAACATTTATAAACTTAGAATCATATTGAAGTACTGTATTTGTTTTTATATCAGGCCATTGATTAATTGTAATAATATAAACTAAGATTTACGCGTATATTAATATATAATGATAATGATTTGCCGAATTTTAATATTTTTAATTTTATACTAAATACAACCCAGTAGTTCTTACTTTAATATCAAAAGTATATTTAAGAATTCTTGTAGTAATAATTTATATGTTTAAAGATAATCCGTATAATGTAGCTCCACATAAAGTTTACTGCCGTAGGTTGTTTAGGTACCGAAATAGCATTTACCTGATTTTGAAACTCTCGTTTGATCCTTTGCTGTAAGTATTTTAATTCACTAAAACCGCCAACAAGAACATCGCAGAACATTTTTCTCGAAGTTGTTATAATTCGACGGGTTCTCATAATCAATTTTAATAAAAAATTTAGCTTTTTCAATTCATCTTTGGTTTCATACTGGCATATTTCAATAGAACCGGCGCAGTTTCTTCAATATCTAGCTCATATGGATCGTAATCTTCTCTGTCTCCCGTAAAAGGAATTTTACTTTTCACAGAAATATTGAATCATGTATTGAAACAGCCATAATGATTTCAATTAATAGGTCTACAGCATTACTTCCAAGTTTTTTACGTTAAAAAATCAATAAATTCTTTATCAACAAATGTGCTCCCAACAGAAATCACCGGTACCTTCGGTGATTTCACTTAACCGATTATTTCCAATTATGTAACTTGTGAAATCTATGATACCTACCGTGCCACAATCAACAATCATAAAAGTTGCTAAATTTAAAGTAAATAAAAATCGCTTAAATGATTATAAGATTTATTGTCAAGTAACTTACTTCCTGGTGTTAACCAATCATGTTCCTTTAATAAATTTCGTATATAAATTACTGCAGCCCCAGCTGTAAACAAAAAAAAAAAAAAAATTTTTTCGTTAATTTGACTAAATTATTTTAATAGCTTTTATAAAAAATCACATAAACTAGTAATAATATTTTTATTTTTTATTTTTTTTTTGTATTAGAATACCTAATTTTGAATATTAGTAAAGTGAATAAAGTGAAGTAGCTTAACACAAGATAAATTAATATAATTGATATTGTAAATAAATATTACCAATAGCTGTACTTTGTAAATATCGTAAATAATCTATACATTTTTGTATCTAAGAAGAAAAAAAAAAATAATAAAATAAAAATCAAGCAATTCAAGCTAAAGAAATATAGAAATTAAACAATAATAGTTCGGCAGCTAGGTTAATTCCAAGTTTCATATTAAGCTATGGAAGAGCGAATTTTGAAATATCTTCGGAGAATCAAATTTACAAATGAAATAACATTAAAATTTTAACTTTCCAACTCAGTATTACTTCCGTGTGTTTAATAAATTAAACTAAATGGTTTCGGTAAAATATCACGTGAATGACGTAAATTAAAGGATCACAACAAGGAAGCTATAACTTTGGAAGAAGGGCCCGATAAAGGAGAATGCATTTAATGCATTGGTGGTATAGTTGGTGGTACTCATTAAATTATTTCTTCAAAATTAATTATTTTAATATCATAATGTACAGTACATATACATTATAAATTCGCAAGCAAAGTTAAAATTTTTTTTGTCATCTTATAATTATGTAATAACTTCAATTTTGATATAAGGAAAAAAAAGACTAGTTAAATGATCATATCATCGAAAAATAGTATCTTTATATCATAAAGAGATTATAAAACACTAAGGAAGGATCTAGAGAGTGTGGCCTAAGAAATTAATAATCAGAGGCTTAAAGGAATCAATTACTTTTTTGTACTATAGTTTTTCTAAAGTAATTTTTATTTTTAATTTTTTATTGGTTGCGATCAGAGGACTAAACATGTTACAAGTGAATGTCGGCTTTTTTTATTATACAGAATTTTTTTCAGAATGAACCAACTTTCTTTGAATAAATAGATACTATAAAAAACCAGGAGATTTTGCGCGAATAACATTGTCAAATGATAATATAAGGTAAATCAATGAATTTATCAGATTGAAAATAATTATTCACTAAATATCAATTTCAAACTTAGTTCTACAATACTGTCCACTTGTTTCATTTTTTACAGTAATAGCAAATTCCATTTGCCCAAAAGAAACCCCAAATAATAATTTATCAAGATGTCCGGATCCAGAAAGATCAATAATAAGTTTCCCTAAAAGATTCATACCAGGTTCATCGCAATATTTTGCACTATATTCTTTAGTATAATATATTTTAAAACATACTCTTGTTTGCATAGGAGAAAGTGGCGTGAAAAATGTTGTAAATTCTTCATTAGCATTAACTTGAATTCCACGTTTAGCTATGCAATGAAATCTATCAATACGTCCATCGCGGATTTTTCTTTCAATTGGATCTCCTTCCAACTGAAGTAAAAGGAGAATTTCTTAGTAAAAAAAGTTATATATACACTATATTATAAATTACCATAAACTTACCCAGTAGTTTCTCACTTTAATACCATAAGTATACTTAAGAATTCTTGTAGCAATAATACATCTAGTAACTTTCATATTATCATTTTTTGAATTGAATAAAGAAAATCCATATAATGCAGCTCCACGTGAAGTTGCTGCTATAGGATTCTTAGGTACTGAGATATTTTTTACTTCCCGTTGAAATTCTTGTTTAATCCTTTTTTGTAAATATTTTGATTCACTAAAACCTCCAACTAAGAACATTGCAGAACATTCTTCTCGAGCATTAGAAAGTTGTAAATGTATCAACCTAATAATTCGATCAACAACAGGATCAAACATTGCTTTTATGTCTTCATAATTAATTTCAAACAACCATTCATTTTCTTCCATTTTAAATCTGGTTTCTTTATCGATATATTGTAATAGAACTGGAGCAGTTATTTCAATATCTAATTCATATGAAAAAACTAAATCATCTCCCGTGAAAGGTAATTTTACACGTTGACAGAATTCTTGAATCATAGATTGAAATTGACTATAACAGCTGTCTCTGAATGAATTTATGGCATCAATTCCAAGTTTTTTACGTAAAAAACCAATAAATTCATTATCAATGAATGTGCTTCCACAGAAATCACCGGTACCTTCGGTGATTTCACTTAATTGATTATTTCCAATTAACTTGTGAATAGTTAAATCTACAGTACCACCGCCACAATCAACAATCATAATAGTTTCTAATTTAAATAAATAAAATCCATTTAATAATTATAAGATTTATTATCAAATAAATATTCATAACTTACTTCCCGATGTTAGCAAATCATGCTCCTTTAATACATTTTGCATACAATAAATTGCTGCGGCCTCAGCTGTAAAAAAAAAAATTATTTTGTATTAATTACGTTGATTAAATTATTTTATTCTATAGCTTTTTCTAAAATTTTTTACTTACACTCTGTAGTAAATTGTAACTTATTTGAGCACCTTTTTGCAATCAACTCTGCTTCATATACACATTCCCTCATAATAGCTATGTCTTCTTCCAAATATTCCATAGGAACAGTAAGAACCAATAATACATGTTTATGAAAATCAATTCCTTGAAAGCGTAGCTCAATTGTTTCTTTAATCAACTTAAATTTACATACAAATAAGTAATTATAGTAAATGTGTTATATTATTCTCGAAGTTTTACTCTTACCTTTCCAATTTCGCGAAGATAATCAGTAATAGCTTTCTTATAATCAAAATCAATTGGAAGTTTTGGTTTTAAATTTTCTGATAAATTACCTAAATGCAATTTGAATAATTCAACTGGTCTTTTTCTATTTTCATTCTTTCGACGACTCGGTCTTTTAGCTAGAGCTGGTAGTCCCCATGACTCAACTCGATCATACTCATAATCATATTGAAGTACCGTATTTGTCTTTAAATTTCCGAAATTTTCGGGCCATTGATCATTTGTAGTAATATTTTCCGAATCAGCAACATGACAATAAGAGAATCCAGAATATGTTGTTCCAAAGTCTAATCCAACTACGACTCGGATATTATCTAATTATAAGTTTTTGTTTTTAATCAAAATTATTATTTTAAAATTGTAATCATTTAACATTACGTACCTTTGTTAAAAGAGCTTTTATCTATAGGATGTATTACTTTCTTTATAGTCACTTTTTGTATAGTAGAATCCTTCATATAATCAAGACTCTCATCTTTTTTGGGATCATTCACATTATCTTCATCTAATTCATCTGAACTCAAAATAAAATCTTTTTGGGGATTATTCACATTATCTTCATGTAAGTCATCTAATCTCAACTTTCCTAAAGCCTTTTCTAAATTTTGTGAAAATATTTCAAATTGCTCACTTTTTTGTTTTTCTAAATTTTGAATATGTTGCTGAAATTGGGTTTCTTTCATATTAAGGCTTTTATTTTCTTCTTGAAGATTTTTATATTTCCGAAGTTGATCATTTTTTTGATGTTCTAAATTTAGAACATGTTGTTTTAATTTCTTATTTTCTTCTTGAAGATTTTCATAATCTCTTTCATTAAGTTTTTCCTTTAATACATGATTTTCTTCTTGAAAGTTTTTATTTTGCCTTTTAAGCTCTTTATTTTCTTCTAATAGAGTTGACAATCTATTATTTAATTCATCAAATTTTTTCAATAAATCCATATTGTTCTTCAAGTCATTTTATCGTTGTCTTCATTAATAAAAAATAAAATTTGCTGTTTAAAATATGAATTGTTTGTAAAACATTATATTTTTGGGAAATTATCTGCAAATTGACATGTGAAAAACGTTGATACACAAAAATCTCAATATCTAGTAAGAGGCTCAAATCTTATTTAAAGAAATTAAACATACGAAAGTCTTATTATCTTTTAATAAGTTTCGTAATTCATATCAAAATTTCAAAACTTGAATGAATTAAAAAAATATTTTTTTTTTTTTCATAAATATTGTGGATTACAATCATCAAGAATTATATTTATACATATAGTCATGTAAACTGAATCTTTTATCTTGAATATATATTACCTCGATTTTTAAAACGGTACATACGGAGAAAAATTATGGATTTCGGTAAAATAAAATGTAATCAATATGTTCACGGTTTAATTTTTACAAGTGATCTTCCTGCGCATTAAGCAGAGATAAAAACCTCTTCTACGTAATAAATATGTGCTGTATTGAGAAATCAGTGATTTTAGAAAAATTGCCTGTCCTCGTATCGAATATCGACAAATTTTTTAATGTAAATTCTTCACGTACTTCACGTACGCAGTTTGAAAATTTCATTTAAACATAAATGAGAGAATAAAGATTATAACTTTTTTCAAAAACGAGGAAAATTGCAAATATATTCAAAAATCTAAACTATTAAAATATATAGTTAAATAAATAAGTGAGATGCTTATAAATAAAAGGATAGATTATTTCAAAGCAGATATACGAGAGCCAATAAAATTTTAGTATATAATTTTATTTAAGCAGACTCCTCATTTTTACTTATTGACTATTTGACTCGCATTTATTTAATGCTCTTTAAATTTTAATCATTTATTTAACGTATTTTCAAACAAAGAAAATTTTATTAACCTTATTTTTTTAAAAAAATTATACAGAAAAATTTTCATACATAGTATGACCTTTTCACATTTTTCTATTCTATAGACGTAACAAAATTTCAAAAATCAAACACTTTCAAATGAAATTTTAATGAAATTTAAACAAATACTAAATGTTCATAACACGAGCAATTTGAGGCAACATCGTCAACTTGGGGCACAACAGATATACGAAGATCAACAAACGTATCGTTCATCATCGAACAAAAGTTTATCGTGAACGATTAAATATAATTGTAATAGAAAAATAAACTGAGACGCTCCAAAGTCAATGAAATTTATATTTTTTTATACAAAATGGTTTAGGAACTTGAATAGAGATAGAAAGACTTTCATATTAAAAGATTCTCGTTAAATTACACGGATCAATTGCATTAGCATTAATAATTCGTATAGTATATTATTATCAATATTATAAAATACATTTTCATTTTATTTACGTGGATAAATTCTTTCATACAATATATAGAGAAACCGATTAAATTTCTTCCAACAACCAATCATTGAGTTCTCGATATTATATATACGTGTAAAATTTTGATTTAATCCTTTAAAAAGATTAAAAAGGTTCTAATTTCCTTAATAAATGCGCACTAGTTGAACACTTTTTCTTCTTAACTAAATAAATAAATAAAATTATAAAAGTTTTTTTTTTCATTTTGTATATTAAAATATACAAATGAAAGTACCTCAAACGGTACGCAGCATAAATTAATAATATGTCAATTTAAGAAATTATAGTAAAACACGGGATTGTTTTCGACTAGACTTTAAGAAAAGTAGCTGCGTTTATACAGTACAGTACATAATATCCGAAATATGTCATATGACATTAAAAACTCAAGATCCGCCTTTGATCCGCTTACGAAGCTCAAAATTTTGCCAAGAATTAGAATTATACAAATTAATTACGTCATTAAATATTTAAGGAATTATTACTTAAGTAACTAATCCTGTTGTAATGATTGCGTAATTAATATATCATAATTTAAGATTTAGGTGTCAATTCTTTAATATTTTTTTCGTTTATATAAAGACGACTTCGAGGTCAAAGTAAAATTTTACTTCAATTACTTTGAATTAAACCAATAAATTCATAAAAAAAAAAGGAAAAAAAAAAATGGCAGAATACACCACAAGAGATATAATCGCTATGATCTTTGCATTTTTCTTACCACCAGGTAAAATATTTATTATTATTATTATGTTTTTTTAAAAAAATATAATTCTTTTTTTTTTTTTTATTAATTTTGATAAATTTTTATTTTTTTTTTTTTTTTAAAAAAAAAAAGTTGGTGTAGGACTTGTAAGAGGATGTCATGGGGATTTATTTATTAATATTGGACTGACCATCCTAGGTAAAAAATCAAATTTTCTTTTTCAATTATTTTTTTTTTTTGATTTTTTTTCTAATTTTTTTTAATTTTGATTTCTTTTGTGAATTAAAAAAAGGTTTTATACCAGGAATTGCTCACGCACTTTATATCATTTACAAGCACCGTATACACTAATTAATAATCCTATACGAATGTTTTTAAATAATTACTTTCATGTTATTAATAATATATGTATTAATAAATAATTATTGTAATAATTATTTTTTTGGTTATATAATTATATTTTTATTTCATTCAAATATATATAAAATTTTGTCTTGCGTAATATAAATTAACCAAAAAAAAAAAAAAAAATACTTTGTTTGTTCTTGAATAATTGTTACCGAGTATATAAAGTAATGTAAAAATTATGGTAGTTCACTATATTCACTATAAAGTCTTTCTTCAAGCTTGCGATGTTTATAAATTATATAAAAAGCATGAAAAACTCCTATAAAAAAATAAAGATGAAACATTTGATATTAAAAAAAGAACAAAGAATAATTTTTTTTTTACCTGGAAGCCAACCTAAAAAATTTTAACAAAGAAAAATCAATTATTCATTATTTACAACAATGTATTATAAAGAATATATAAATTTAGAACGTAAAATTACCTAATATTGTCAATAAAATACTTAGGCTAAAAGTAAAAAAAAAGTTTTAGCTAAAAAAGAAAAAATAATAAGGACAATAATAAACAACAAAAAAAAAGATACTTAACCATAAGTCAAGATTACAACAACCTCTTTTCATAAATACACCTAAAGGTGGACAAAAAAATGCCATGATTATAGCCAAAATTTCCCAGCCGGTATATTCAGCCATATTGACAGTATTTTTAGAATTTTTTTAAAAGAAGAAAATTAATTTTAAGGGGAAGAATTAACGCCCATTTAAAAGTATATTCATGCATACAGTATAACCACGTGAAATCACGTGACAGTCGTGATATTTCAGATAATTCTGATATATTACGTACAGTATTTATTAAAATTACAATAGTACAAATAAATTAAATTAACAAACTCTATTTAAAATTAATCTAATTGTCATTTAACCCTTCATTCCTTCTAATAACCTTCTAATAAATTATCTATTTAATTGTCTTTTTCAAGTTTATTAAATTTTAAACCTGATAATAATTGTCCGACAGATTTATCATTGTTAGATTTACAACCTCTCATAGAAACACCGAAATATGGGCCCATGTGAAAAATTGCATTTAATTGAATAATAGGTAACGAATTGGAACATTTTGGATCTTCTGGACCCTTGCATGTAATAAATTCACTTGAACTTTTTTTAGGATCTGATATCCATAATTCACCGCTAGGATGTTCATAAGAAAGGAATTTTGGTGGTAAATGAGGAACTGGATCACCTCCATTTACAACCCTTGTTACTTTTAATTTACTATCAACAAATTTAGAAAATTTTAAATCACCAACTCTTGGTTCACCATAGGTAGCAACGAAAAGATTTTCATTTGCTTTGAAATCTGTTGAATTTTGTACAAGATCTAATGCTGCTAATAAAGTGAGCGCTATAATGAAAATAATAAATAAATTTCTTTAGTTAAAACATAAAAACCATAAAAAACGTTAAAAATATATAATTTTTTTACTTACCAGCACCTAAACTATGACCAGTATATAAAACTTTAAAATTAGGATGTTCTTCATGTAATTTTTGAACTTCGTCGAAAACTTCGGATTGTGCTTCAAGAAAAGCTTCATAAAATCCAGTATGTACTTTTGCTCCTTTTACAGGTGGATAATCTCTTAAAAGAAGTTTTGCATCAGTGAGTACAGTTTTAATATTATCTGGTACAGTTCCTCTAAATGATACAACGATTAATTCTTCTTCTTCATATGTTGCAATATAAGCTAGATTTTATTATTAAAAGTAGTTAGTAGATAATCCCAAGGATTTGTGTGACGAAATATGGCGCAATAATATAGTTACCTCGTGTAGCGGTGTTTTTAGTGGTAAAGAATTTATTAACAACAGTACCATTAGTTGCATCACAAAGAGGTCCACAATTCCAATCTTTAAAAACAGAAGTATCACAATAAGCGGCAGCAGCGAAATTAGCAAATTTACTTAAATCATCCTTCGAAATATTATCGTTCCTTTTATCAAGGGTTGAATAAGAGGAGGTAGGAGTTGGAACGGCTTCGATTAATGTTGATAAGAGAATTAAAGAAATTATAAAAGTTAATTTGAATGAGAATTTAAATGATGAGTGTGAAAGGGATTTATGAAAATGTTTAGTGGTATGAATTGCACCGCAACTCGAGGAGATGATTTGTTTCATTGTTTATTATAAATGTTCTAGAGTAAAAAAAAAAAAAGAATGAATTTTTTCCCAACACTTTTTAATAGTGGGAAAATGAAAGAAAATGAAGGGAAATGAAGGGAAATGAAGGGAAATGAAAATGAACGAAGGGTTAAAATGAAAAATAAATATTGGTCGAGGAAAATCATCATTTTTCTCATTTCTTTATATACATTTTCGAAGATCGTTCAAAGATAAACAAATGGATTGATTATATTGAAATTTATGGAAAACAAAAAAAAACGTGATATATATCATGCTTCTTTGTATTATATAAAGTATAATAATTCAAAGGTTTAACAGTTTCAATATATAATGAAAAATTGTTTATAACCCAAATTTAGTTTAATTCGGATTTAACACAAAAAAATCGGACCGGAAAATTTGGATTGAAGGACATTATAAATTACCAAATATATTAAAGTACAATTATGGGAAAAATATAACTGTTTACGTACCTTTACATGCTTATGCCCGTCGCCACCTCGGCTTGATATAAAATCAAAATTTTATTCGTTACATATACAAGTATTGCATATTTTTAATTTTTAATAAATTCTTTTGTTCGATTAGTAGGTAAAACGTTATTTATTAGAATGACCGCAGTATTTCTTTTTTTAGCTAGAAAAAAATTAAATTGATGTTACATATAATTTGATCCCCTTTTTTGGAAATTATGGATTTTTTGACATATTGTAGAGACAATGAAAAAGGATATCAAAGTTTCAAAATTACGAGTTTAGATACCATGCTTTATTAGGGATAAATTGAAATAAATTGGATAAATTCATTTAATATCCAATGATTATTTTTAGATAAGTAAAAATGTTAAGCTTACAGTTTATTTCCTTTATTTAGTTAACGCATGGATGATTTTTTTAATAAATTTATTGGTAAAAAAAAAAATTATTTAATAAAATTTTTTTTTTTTGGAAATTTATTATTGTTATTTATTTCTAGAAAATATATATATATATATATAAAGTTTTTTTTAAAAAAATGTTTGCATTTGTGGAGTACATAATACCGAAAAAAATAAATGATTAATGATAAATGTCAATTGTATGCAAAAGCAAGAAATGTGCATACAAAAGATAATTTGTCAGCGAATTTTTATTGATTGGTTTTTTTTTTTTTGTTAAAATTTAAAATTTATAATTAACTTTATAAGTCAATTGACGTGCGATTTAAAAATAATTCAAAAAAATAGATTTTTATTTCTCAAATGATATTTGAGTTACATATCATTATAAACAAAACGATGAAATATTGCAGATTTTTAATATCAGTAAAAGTACAGTATTTATTATGTCCGGCCGAAATATCCGTGATCATGTGATTTTGACCGTCTGGAATCATCTTCTGCCTAGACGTAGTTCACATGAAGTTTAAAGATATATTGTTCCTCAATAACTATCGGACTTAAATTGGTGTCTATTATCAGCCAGAGCCTAGAAGTAGTTTGCAAAGAGTTTAAAGATATAATGCTCCCCAATATTAAACTATCAGACTGACTTATACTACGCTGCGCAATATGAGTCTATAAAAAGCCTATACTGTATAAAACTTAATCACTAACATTTCTTCTTTCTTCCTAACATTATTTTAACGCGTTTTTTTTATCTTCTCAAGCAAATATGTATGAACCAAAACCAGAACCTTATGTTATTCATTTACCTTCGAGAAAATTTGTTTCAAAAAGTGTAAGACTTGCGGATCAAAAAGCAGCAGAAGAAGGAAAAATTGATTTACCTAAATCAAAAAAAACTTCTAACAAAAATTCTTATAACAAAAAATCTTATTATCAAAAAAAACAAAATTGGCGACAAAAGAAAAGTAATAATTGGAAAAAAACTTCAGATGATGAACCAGAAAAAGATGTTACAAATGATAAACCTCAAAAAAGGTTATCTTTACCATCAAAATCTTATTCAAATCGATGGAATGGAAATCATAATTTTTATAAACAAATTGAAGAAGCTGGTATAATTGCAACTCCCGCTAAAAAACCGGGAGAAGATCGTGGTCCTTTTCAACGTTCATTTGATACTTTTATGTTTGGAAATCGTTCAATTCTTCCAGACCTTCCAGCTATTAATTCTGGAGATTCTAGACTAAAATATAAATCTTTTAAAGAACTTAGTGATTCTGCTGTTGTTTCTGATAAAATTTATAAATATCCTGTAAATGATATGACTGGCACATATCAACGATCAATGTCAAATGCTAGATTCGGTGTGGCGTCATCGTCCTCTACATCAGAGGCTTCGATTTCATCAAGATTACAAGCTCCTTCTATGGTTCCGGTTTTAAAAAATCGAAGAATTTCAAATTCAAACCAATCATCTTTTGTACCTGATTTATTTAATTCTACATCAACACATTCTTTGAATAATGATATCTTTTACAGTGAAGATTCTGCCGTTAATGATAATGATTCCTCTTCAATATTAATGGAAGACCGCGTAACGTTAGATAACAATTTAAAAAGAATTCGTGATGAACCTTTTAATCAAATGGAATTAAAACGAAGTGTTGCAGGACCTATTAGTTGTCTCCCTGATCTGGTAAAAAATACAAATTTATAATAAAATGCGATTAAGTAAACAATTTTAATTTTATGAAATAGTTAACTATCAAAAAAACAAATTTAAATGGTTTCAACACCCTAATGAAATAGCCACCTTCACGAATGGAAGCTATCGTATCAAAGAATGCCGAAATTCCTCATGAATCGCAGATCTTGGATCATGTCATGACACAATATCGCGGCAAACTCTCAAAAGGTTCTAACGATGTGAAAAATGAAACAACGATTACTGAAGAGCAATGGTTCAATATGATTACGTTACTCGATTTACGTAAGTATTATGCTAATTGCATAGTCGTGAAGTTAAATATTACACGTCTTATTTATTATTTTTTTACATAGCTGAAATGTTCATGAAAGAATTTATCAAAAATACTATGAAAATTCTTCAAGAAAAGAGTCATTCAGAAAAAGTAGGAATTACTATAGGACAAATTAGTAACATTCATTCAACCAAGAAAGTTCTCACTTTAAAGGATTATACAGGTTTCTACATTTTTTTATGTCACAACTATAAGCGTATGATAATAACTATGTAATCATAATTACATCATTGAAGGCGAAATTAAGGCCTTGATCCAAGAAAAAGTTATTGAAGCATACAGATCAATGTTGTGTAAAAACACAATTCTTGTCCTAAGAAATGTAAGTTATTCAATTATAATTTCCCTTATTAATTTTATCTTAAACACTTTTGAAATAATTGGCAACATTTTTATAAAGGTTACGATTCAAAATTCTGAAGGGTTACCACTTTTCATCGCCATTACGTTTAAAAATATTTATATGATATACGTAGATGAATTTAACAAAGTTCTTGGACATGGAGCAAAGGTTAGTAATAAATTAAATTTACTGTACCATAATAAATTCAAAATTCGAAGAAATTTACATTATAAGTATTTACTTAGAACATAAACGGATTGGGCGATAAAGCGAAAAACAATTCTCCAAGTAGTTCAATTCAATCAAATTCTGAAGAATCTTTATAGATGGTGAAATTTCGCGCCAGAATGATATGTGAAAAACTATGAGTTAATTAATTTCATAATTCATAAATTATATTGATAACTTTCAAATAACTGTTTTTTAAATAAAATTCATAATTTGTTTAAGAAATATTGTAAGGCAATGAATCAAATTTTTTTTTACAATTCTTTGTTATAATAAACCTCAAATTATCTTTTTTCTTTTTTTTTTAAATTAACATATTCATTTTTGAATTCCAAAAAACGAGTTAGATTGTATTGAGCTAGGTTGAACTCACTCCCTTTCTAAAAAATAAAGTGACTTTAAAAAAAAGACCCTTTATAATTTGCATTTATTAAAACCTTAGTAAACCTTTTTTTTTATAATATAGTTTTGGAAATTTTGGAAAGCAATCTTAGCAACTACTTATTTCATAAATTTATACTAATTTTTAACCCAAGAATTGCATAAATTTCAAGAAAATTTTTCTATCATAAATTCATCATAATCTTTACAAACTTCCTGATTTTCCTTTCTATCGGTATATTTCCAATTTTCAGTATAAAAGATAAGTTTCCTATTTCTTGGTTAAAATGGTACAGAAGGGGCATAAAGAGCGTCTTTTGCTAAAACATCTACTTTTTCATTCCTATAATCTCCGCTATATCTCTTAACCTTATGGAGTGTCAAATTTAATTTACCTTCCTGTACTAATCTACATATTTTTTGCAAAATCAAAAAGTTATTGCAATCTATTAACTGATGAGGCTTTTTATATAGAACTGCATCGATAGTATAAATTGCTGTTTTGCTGTCCATATGTATATTGACTGTACTGTTGGAAGGGCATGAGTAAAGCTAGCAAGATGGCATATAGTCTTGCTCTAGTCGACGATGTCTAGTTCTTGATCCTGGTTTTCATACTTTCTTCTGTTGTAGTTTCAATAAAGGCAGCTCCTTGTAAAACTTTATAGGTGTCTGATTCTATTGATTATTAACATAAGCGTTTCTATCTTGAACACTATTGTAATGTTGCTTCTTAAGGCTACTATCCATGTAAAAATTCAACACAGACAGTTGTTCTTTAATATCCATCAATTTTTGTCTTATTTTAGAAGAGCTAAACCATTAATCAATCCAACAAAATCTATCTTCTATAAGACAGGTGGTTTCAACTAGGTCTAATTCATTTTCCATTTCTATTTTATTAATATTCCCTCCATCCTTTTCTTTGATAAATTTACTTGTTGAGTTTGCTATAAACCCGTGATTTGGTAAAAGTTTTGATTGTTGTGTATTATTCGGAAAGCTAATATCCATTGTATTTCATCACTGCGTGTCTGTCCTATGTAAAGTTGTAAACCGTGGGCTAGTTATAGTTGTAAAAGTCTATTTTACTATTTTATCCGTAATACAGAACGCAGATTCAAAAATATTAAAACGACACATGATATCATGATATCACATTTATCATATAATATATACTTATTGTATAGTTCTTTAGGCAATAACATGCTGTTTTCGATTGAGGCCATTTGATTGGCTCAGATTGTGCCACGAAGCATACAATAAGTGTTTTATTATAGACTCTCACGATCACAGTCAGGATTTAAGGTTTTACTGATTTAAAAAGTATTCATTTATTATATATATCATCAATAAAGCTATTCAATAAATGTAAAAATGTACAGTGTGATCCTATAAGGATATAATTTATCCTATAATTTTTAAGAAATAAATCTTGTTAAATATCCAATTGATTCAAAATCAGATCACATTTTATCCCAAATGTCTAGCCACTGAAAAATTTACTCAAACCGCATTCAGAAATAAAAGACAAACCACTAAGCGAAAGCAGTTGAGTGAGTTCATATGCAAGTTATTTATTTCAATATCTGTTCAATGTTTACCTGTAAGATTGGCTCGAAGATAACTTTAAAAGAATACAATAATTTTCTTATTCGTAAAGAGTCTTCTGGGTACAAATACCAACGAAAAAGTAACGGTGATGTATATGTAATCGACATGAGTGACCCCGAAATTAGCCACGTTACTTATCTGCTACAAAGATATTTTGAGCTCGCTAACGGTGGAGTTTTCTCTAACCCACCGATAGAAATTCATGGTGATGGATGTACTTGACCTATATATAATTGATTATTTGATATTCACACCCTTCCTTCCTTTAGTCCTTAGTCCATCCCGATCCTACTGTAACTGGAGGATTTATTGCTGCAGATGTTGCGGTCGCACCACACTTGAATCATGTCCAACGACCCATTGTCCCATATCCCGGCCCTCCACCTGGAGATAAAACCGTATTTTTTCGAGATTTGATTTGCTAAATTTAATTTATGATTTTCTGATATTAATATTTTCATCTAGGGGAAACCGCATGCCCGAATAATCTGCGAAGTGGCTAATCACCAGAGTATTGGCCAATTGCGTAGTAATTGTCAAAATTGGTTAAATGTAATTCATGTTCGATATTAAATTGCATGATAAAAGGGCAACAACTGATGCCCAAGGACGTTATCACAGGTCAATGACAGCATTACTGTTTCAACAAGGAGTAGCCGTATATCAAATAGTAAGACGCTAATTTCTAATTGTTATTTTTTTGGTCAAATCATCTTAATCCAAAATATTTTAGTGGGATTTCGGTACCCACAGAGCTAGGAAGAGAAACAAGCAACACTTATCTCACAGGATGTAATGCTCCTAATATTCCAGCATTCCAAATTAACATCCCAGTCAACCAAGTTTTCTGGGATCCGCTAACAATTCCAGCTGCAGCTGGACACGTGCCAGCTGTCCCCACTGCGATTGCTCTAATTAATTTTACAATCGACCTGTACGTAGTTCAGCAGCTAGTTTTGGACCACCAAGCAGATTAATTAGGCCGCTCCAACAAATAGTCTCGTTTAACATTAACCCCCCCCTCATTATTTCAAAAAATTCAAATTTAAATGTAAATTTTGTATATCACGTGATTTTGCTTACATCCAACCATTGAATTTTCATTACATCTTGGTTAAAACAAAGTGGATATACAGATTGATATCCATTAAGTAAATCGTCACTTGCCTCCACCAATGAATTATATTTACCACAATAATAACAAATAAGAGGTTTTTTTAGGCGATTTGAATAATAACCACTTTCAATTGGAGAATCACAGCTAAGAATAAAAACAACATCGGTAAATTTTTTAAGGTAAAATCTGTGATCCTGTCAACGCACGTCGAAGAAAAATTTAATAAAATCTGCGCAGAATTTTTAAAATAAATCTCAGAATGTTAAAAAAATTTATTATTGGACGCTGCATTAATTAATTCATTTATAAACTGAATCTTTTATTAAACTGTATTTATTAATACTTATAAAATTAACAAAAAATATATGAAATCTATTACATGTTGAAGGTTATCAAAGAAAAAAAAGATATTTATTAAATGCATTAAAATCAAAGTTCCGTCGTCTTCTTTCATACTTCAAATTCATGTTGTTAATGGTTTGGGACATTGTTCCAGTTGGTTCGATTCCAATAAACAACAAATAAAATAGAAAAAAATCCGAAGTTCTTTGCGCACATTCACCGGAGTACTACAAATGACTTAAATTCCCACACAAAATATTAGAACTACAAAATAAAAAGAAACGTTAGTAATGTTTCTCGAAAAAAAGATTTAAAAATTGTTTCGCAACACTAAAGTATTGCGAAACTTACCGTTTCGATTTTTCACTATCGAAAGTCCGAAACTTACAAAAAGAAAAGAAGAAACATTAGTATCGTTTCTTTGAAAAATAAAAAATAAAGATTATTATGTAATGCGGAGTGAAATTTATATTGATATCAATGATGCTGTCTATTAGTATCTGTGAAATTCTATAAATGCAAATATATACAAAAATGAATCAATACATATACAGAGTATGTTAATACTTTATTTCTTGTTTACAATCTGATTTAAGAAATATCTTAATCATCTTGTTGAAAATCCTCTTGAATCTACAAAAAAGCAAATAAAATGGTTATTTAAAATCAAATAAAAATTAATAATGAAATCAAAGGCATGTTACCTGTATTAATTGTGTTCATGAGTCTTTCATTATCTTGTACTTGATGAATTTGTGGATTTTGTGTCTCAGATTTCGGGAGTGATGATCTAGACGACGATAAGATTGAATTTGGTCTAATATAAATTCTAAATTGAAGTTAAAGTTATCATTGCGTTTATAGCTTCTAACTCAAAATTATACTTACATTGACGATTCTTTAGTCAATTGATCTAAAAAAAAGAAAAAAAAAAAAATTTATTAAACAAACAATTTATTTAAACAAATAATTGATTTAAACAAACAACTTGTTTAAGCAAGTAATTTTCTAAATTTTGTAAAAAATGTCCTACTAGTTTTATTTCCAAAAAATGGAAATGATGTGATGTCTTCACGGACATTGTTAAGAGATGATAAACCAAAATCGAACTGAAAAAGGGTTAGTGTTGAGGTATATAAATAAACACATCTATTAAATCGTTAGCATTTGAATTTAATTTTACCTGATTTAATTTACCCAAATTAGAATTAACGCCTTTAGATGATAACTCATCTGACGTTGAAACCCCTAAGCCAAAATTGGAATTGTTACCTAAACCAAAATTATTATTATCTGATGTTGAAATACCTAGACTAAAATTGGTATTGGCATTGTTATCAATATTATTTTGATATGACTTCAAATTGTTCATTATTTGACGGTCTTTTTTTTCCCAGTATTTAATGCAATAAGGGGTTTAAAAAAAGTGAAACCATAGCATGTAAGATTAAATAAATTTTTTTTGCATAAATGATATTACAGTGATTAATTTAAATCTTTCATTCACCAGTTTGTTTTCCTTGAAGTTGAACTTCGAGAAATTCCATTTTCTGTTTCAAATATTTATTCTCATCCTGTACTTCTCCGAGTTTTTCCATTACAATATTGACAGACTTATTATCGGTGATTTCTGCTAATTGATCTTCTGTTATCCGTTTCTGTAGCTGAGATTTTGCATTATCCAATGTTGACGATAACGCATGTGATGTACTAACCTAGGAAAAAAATTTTAATATTCATAATGTCTTAATGTCAGTTATTTTATTATCTCTCACCTCTCGAAGAAGACTTGCTCTTTCAGACTATGGAAGAAAAAATAAAATACACAAATTAATCCAAATATAAATTAATATTAAATAAATTTCTCGTTAAATACTAACTTCCGATTGTGCCAAGTCGCGTTGCACACTCTCCAACATACGAGTTAGAACTGGGTGGAAAAAAATTTTTTTAAAAAATTCTCATTATCGAAGTATTCTTATTATCGAAGTAAAATGCGATTAATTGATTACATACTATCACATCGTCTTTCATAGTTCAAAAGTTCCGCTTTATGATGTTTAATTTCCTCTTCCAAAGTTTTCTGTAATTGTTGGGCTTTTCTGTCTCGTAGAAATATTTCCATCCTGAAAAATCAAAATCCATACATAGTAAAAGCATTAATTCAATATATACATATTTTCTAGAAAAAAAATATATATTGAAAATTAAATATCCTACTTTAAATTATTATTATTTTGGGATGTATTTTGCTGTTCATTCAATAACTTATGGTAAGAACCCATCAAGATTTCTTTTTCCTGATCTTTTGTGACAATCAAATTATTCAAATATTTGACATGATTTTCCTTTTCTTCAAGCTTAACAAGCAGTTGATTTCTATTCTTTGTCACCTAAAAATTTAATTAATTTAATTTAAAATCCATTTTTTTAATAATATAAAAAAAAAAAATCTTACCTCAGTAAGTTTAATCAATATTTTACTCCCTTTCGTTACTTTTGTTATATCATCAAGTGCCGAATCATATTGATCAAGATACTAAAAGATCAATGAGATTGATGAGATTAAAATTTTTAATAGATTATAATTTAGATTAACAATAATACCTGTAATTCAGCTAGTAACTTATCACGTTCAATAATAATTTCGTCATTTTCCTTCTTTAAATTTTCGAAAGCCTTTTCACGTTCAATAAGTTTTTGATTCACTTGTTGGAGTCTATCCCTTATTGAACTTAATTCTTGTTCCATATTTTGAACGACTTTTTTAGCTTCTTCAACTGTATTATTTAGTAATTGGAAAATTAAATATAAAGTAACTATAGATTATTGATTAATGTATAACCGATATAATCTAACCTTTCGCTTCTAAAGCTTCACACTTATTTTCATTAGAATTTTTGTTAACTCCTGATGATTGCTGCGACTCAAGATCTAGCTTAAGACTAGCCAATTCGGTTTCTGTTTTTTGTAATTTTTCCAAAGTTTGTTGCATTGACTATATTGATCAAAGATAAATTATTTTATAATGATTTTGCGTCTTCATAAAATAAAAGATTAAGTAAAATTTATGACAAATATACACAATAATGATTAAAACTTACTGTAGAAGAGTGGCTTTGCGTTTGTAATTTTAGGTTAAGTTGCTTGTAAAGATCTTCGAAGTTATTCCTTTCCTTGGTTATGCTTGTAATTTGTTCCTTTTCAATATTTGATTGTGCTTTAACTTCTTCCAATTCCCTTTGGAATTGTTCAAGTAACTATAAATAAGAAAGGTAATAAGTTATAAAGGGTTTAAATAAATAATATTATGTTGCAAATAATATATTACATCATTTTTTTCTTGTTTCAAAGATTCCAACTCCTTAGAGCCTATATTTTCCACACTAGTTTGCGTCATGACATTTTCGTTGTTCGCCTGGATATTTAAAGGCTTAATTCCCTCCTTGACGAATCTATATAACTCACGTAACCTATCAGTTGTAGACTGAAGATCTTTCCTAAGTGTTTCTATTTCATTGTTAGCCTTATCTAATGCTCTCCTAAGATGATCGTTCTCATTTGAAATATCTAGCGGCAAAAAAAAAAATATAAATCGGTTACGATAAAAAATAAAATCGATCGAATGATTACACTTACTTTCAAAATCAATTTTAAATTGTGTATTCGTTGTTTCAGACAGAGTTTGAATTGATTGGCCTAATTCTTGCTGAAGTTCTTCCTTGTTATTACTTAAGATAGACGCCTACGAAAATTTTTTTGATCCAGAATAATGAGTCGATTCAAATAATTATTTTAAAAAAAGTTCTTGATGCTACTCACCAAAGTTACTTTTATTTTGTCTAGTTTAATTCATATGATGATGAAAAATTCGATTAAATAAAATTTTTAAACATTTCATAATAAAGCATAACGAGTCTTTTGATAATTATTACTTTTTTTCCAGGAATGCGTATTAGTTTCTCCTAATTCATTAACTAAGTGTTCTAATTTCTGTAATTCATTAAGCAATTTGACGTCCTTTTCACGTGCATCCCGGAGTTCTTCTAAAATTTCCTGTTTTTCTTCTTCTGTCTCTTTAATAATATTTGTTTTTTCTTTCTCAAGATCTGTTATATCCTAATGAATGTATAGCACATAGAAATTAATATACATGAAGCCAGTGGATCCCATTGCAGAAATTCTGAACTAGTGGCTTCACAAGTAGCTAGAATTACCTGTTCTAATCCAATTACGTATTCCTGCAGATATTCCAGCTGAGACTCAAGTTGTTGAACTTTTGAATTTGCATCAGACGATGAAGAGGCACCAAATTTTCCGGATCGCTTATTAATTAATAATGATCCAAGACGCGCTATTTCTTTTTCACGTGAAACAATCTGTTGTTGAAGATTTAGGATCTAAAATTTTAGCGATATGGATAATATTAATACAATTTTATATTAAAAATCAAGTTGCTTTGCTTAAAAATACCTGTTCTTGAAGATTTTTTTCTTTATCCGATAATTTTTTATTTGATTGTTCAAGTTCCTTAATTATTTTCTGACTCTGCCGTACAATATCTACTATTTGAGGGTTTGGTGGAGTGATAACATCAAATTCGTCCGGCATAGGATCTTGTAATAAGAAAATTAACGCGTAAATTAAGAAATTAAGACGCGCAAATCAAGATATATAAATTAACGTGTAAATTAATATGTGTAACTCAAGATGTATAAATTAGTATGTGTAAATTAAGATGCGTAAATTAAGATGCGTAAATTAAAATGCGTAAATTAAGATATATAAATTAAGATATATAAATTAAGATGCGTAAATTAAGATGTATAATTAAGATTCACAAATTAAAAATTAAAATGTGTAAATTAGATACGCAATTAAGACGCGTAAATTAATAAATCAAGACTTTTTTTACTAACCTAATACTTCATCCATTTCAATACTTTCAAGAACGAGTTCCAAAAAACCATTTTTTTTAGATCCTTTAAAGAAGAGGAAAAAAAACGCGTTTTTTTTAAAAAAAAATCACGTATTATTTTCTATAAAGGTAAATTTTTTTTTTCTCTCTCAGACTCTCACCTTTTCCTATATTATTATTAGTACTATTAGTATCATTATAAATGGTTAATAATTCTTCAATTTTTCTTCTTTCAGTTAGAAATTTTTTTTCCGTTAATTGAGTTTGTATTAAATATTGAGAATTTAAAAATTTCAAATCCATATTCTCTTTTTCATATTTTCGAATTAAAAATTTATTTTTTATAAGTTCTTTATTATTATCTTCAACTTTTTGAATCAAATCAACGTGAAGTTGATTATTTTCTTTTGTTATAGCTGCAAGTGACCGTTTAAGAGGTTCTACCTTTTTTAATTAATTAATTAATAATTAATTAATTAATTTTTTAAAGAAAAGAAAAAATTAATATCTACACGTTTAAAATATATGTAATATCATTAATTAAAAACTTTTTTTTTTTTAAAAAAAAAAAAATAAACTAAACTTGACAATGTAGTTCCCATTTTTCTTTTTCAACTTTTTGTGAATGTGAATGTAATATTTGATAATTTTCCGTGATAGTATATAAACCATTTAAAAGTCTTTTTATTAATGGTATTGATTCTGAAGTAAAATTTTCATGATAATTAAGTTTTAAAAGATGTTGTTTAAGTTCATTATATTCTGAAGAATTTTCATTGTCTTCTTGAGACATTATATTTTTTTACGGTTTGTAAAAAATTATAAATTTGGTATTAATATATACAAAAATTTTATTTTTGGAATTTGAAACATGGAAAATCTGGAAAATCAAAAAAATTGTAAGTCGTACAGATTAATCAAAAAATCATCAGTCATATGTTTCCCATCTACTTTCGCTTTTTTGTTTATTTATGCAATTCAAAAAATTCATTTAAAGGCAATACCAATACCGCAGCTAAGATTGACTTACTTACTAATCGGACAATTTTATCCGTAAATGAATCCGTTATTTTTGAAAAAAAAAACGTATAACATGAATATAAATGAAGCTTATAAATATATAAAGCCTTCATTTTTCCATAATTTTTTCCCACCATTACCTTTGTTCCTTTTTTTTTTTTTCTTTTCCTTCATAATAAATAAAATANAAAAAAAAAAAAAAAAAAAAAAAAATGGGTGAATATTCACCTTACTTACCTAGTGAGTGTTTACAAGAAATATTTAAATATATAGATGAGAATGATACAAAAACGTTATATTCAATATTATTAGTAAACCGATTATGGTGTTCAAATATTGTTTCAATACTTTGGAGAAATCCTTTCAAAAATCAAAAAGAAGAGAAAATTTCTTATAAAATACTTTTAACCTTATTATCTTATAATCCCTTCACTACTACTCACACTTTATCCTCTACCTCCACTATTGATAATAATGATGATGATAAAGAACAACCTATTATAAAATCTTTTAAAGAATCAACTATATTAACAAGATTTGATTACCCTTATTTTATTAAAAAACTTGATCTTACAAATATGTTAAAAATGATATTTTACCTAACCGAAGATAAAAAAAAAGAAGAAATCAAATTTAAAAATCTTAAAAAATATAATAATTCATCATCAATATTTGAAAAAATTTGGAAAATAATTACTTCTAATTCAAATATTGAAACTCTTATTATAAACACAATTGATTGCCATAAATTTTCAAAATATTTAGAACCCTTTTTTAAAATACCTGAAACAAAAAAATGTTTTTCCACTTTAAAAAGTTTAACATTAAAATTAAAACCACAAGATTCATTAATTTTAAGTGAATTAATTAATTGTATAAACGATAAAATTAAAGATATTGAATTAGAAATAAGTTATAAATCAACAATTACTTGTTTTGATTCAGATCTTATTATTAATTTAATTAGTTCACAAAAAAATCTCGAAAAATTTCATTATAAAGATGATTCAGGAAATTTATTTATTTATCCAATCATATTAAAATTAAGGGATCATTCTCATTCTATAAAAAGTTTAACTTTAGAACAAAGTTGTAGTATTGATGTTGATCTTTTTAGTAGTTTCGAAAATTTTTATAATTTACAAGAATTAAGTTTTAAAAATTTTAATTTCGAAGGAAATCATGATTTATTTTCAAATATTAAATTTCCAAAGTTAAAATCTTTAAGTTTTGATGATATCAAATCAAGAAATCAACAATATATGGCTTATGTTTCTGAACCAATTATGAATTTTATACAAAATCATTCTACAAATTTGAATCATCTTAGTATGAATGTATTAGATGTAATTATGAAAGATACTTTTAAAACCATTTCTCAATGTTGTTCAAATTTAACTTCTTTTTCTTGTGCTACCAATGATCAAAATGATATGAAATTCATTTATTTAATATTTAAAAATAATCCTTATTTAAAATCAATTGATCTTTGTATAATATTTCCTATTAGAAATTCTATTCTTGAAACCTTTGCTAGAGAAATTCCAGAATCTATTAATAATATTACAATTGGTTATAGTATTTTAGGAAAAGTACAAGTCAACACTTTTTTAAAAGAGTTAAAATGTGATAAATTGAAATCTTTTAAATTTAATTGGCAAAATCCAAAGAATGTGGATATTGATAAAATGGCAAGAGAAATTTCAAAAGACAAGGGTTGGATTTTTAAGGGATGCGAACTTAAGCCTACTCAATATCAACGTAAATATATAATAGAGTGGGAATGATCTGATGTGTGAATCAATTTCTGAGCAAGGGATTTACTTTTTTTTTTATATCAAGTTTAAAATTATTTTTTATCAAGAATTCACAAATTTTCAAAGTTCACCTTTTTTATCAAAGGACCCACAGACACCAAAAAAATCTAGCTCATAAATCTTGTGACATTATAACCGATCACCCCTTTTTTTTTTAATTTACCCATCAAGAAATCTACCATATTTTTTCGCGTATATTATGGTGTTGAACACTAAAATATAAGCGAGGGCTATCCACGTGCTTCGTAAACAATACTTGTTGAAATAAGGCATGATTGTCTACTTGGTGATTGGGATTAAAAATATTAAAAAGTTTAATTATTATTAGAGTACATGGCAACATGGGTAACTGTATATTATTCTAGGTATATTATATATGTCGTTATCTTGTAAAAGTATCTTCAAGTAATAATTGATTTGAAACAACATATTGTTTCCAATTTATTTAGAAGAAAAAAATTATGTTAACATTCAAATTTTTTTTTTTTTTAGCTTATTACCTGTCTCTTATACACATCTGTCTTCACGGACATTGTTAAGAGATGATAAACCAAAATCGAACTGAAAAAGGNAAAAAAAAAAAAAAAAAAAAAAAAAAAAAAAAAAAATAAAATAAAAAAAAATGTGAATTATGTATATATATGTTACATGGTAAATTATAAAATATTTATGAATTCTTTTGACGTTCCTTGATCTCCTGTACAACTTTTCCAATTTTAACCTTAAGTTCAGGACTAATGTTATCATATGTAGGTGGTAAAGATGGCCATTCTTTTGCAACACGTTTCCTAATAGTATCAAAATCTTCCCATTCACACACTTTACCATGATCATATACAACCTTTAATAAATTTTTCGGATCATTTTCTAAACAATTTTCTTTTGGATGAACGATCGGAACCTAAAGAATGAATAGTATAAATATCGGTTGTTAAAATATAAATGATCAAGAAGAATATACACATATATAATAGTACTAACCCCCTCTTTGTTCTTTATAACACCGAATTCACCCGGTAAACTAATTTTTCCGGTATCGGATTTTGGCGTCTTCATGATATCCCTGTATATTAATTATGGATTGGATTATTAGATATTATTAAATTTTTTTCACAAAATTTTTATCCTTATGAAATGAATGTTTATCCTTATGAATGCTCTATCATTATGAATGCTCATCCTTACCTTGCTTCTCCATCACTATAGGTAAGATGACTAAGTTTGGTAGCAAAACTCATGGTATCACGATTAAGTTTTTGTAATAAACCGCCACCCATACCATAGGCAACATTTTGAGCAGAGTAACCGGCTTCTTTTATTGCTTTCAAAATTTTTTCTAAACTACTAATAGTTATAGCGTCACCTTGGATGACACCAGCTCCACGTATCACTTTATACCCTTTTTTATTAACATCGCTACCAAACACTTCATCCGCAGCTCTATTAATAAAAAATGTCAGTTAGAATAATTGATCTTATATTTTTACAATTTTATAATTTTAATATAAATTGTAATTACTTTAAAGCCATTAAGACAGCTTCAACTGGGTCACCACTGTCAGGTCTTAGTACCATGTATCCACCTTTTTCATTTTTTTGCTTGGAAATTGACGGAAGTATCTTGTTCAATGCATTGGAATAATCATAAGAATCCATCACACATGAATACGCTCCAGAACCATACTGATTAATCACTTGTAGCATAGCTTCCTTTTAAAGATTCAATCAAGAAAAATATGAGATTATATTAACTCAAATTGGTAGTGAAACAACATATAATCGATTTTTGATTAATATCTCATTGCAACCATCGTGTGTATTTTAACCAATATCATAATTAATGATAAATTGATGTATTATATTTACGTACTCTTTCTGATTTATATGCCGTCATGATCGAGTGTTCAGTTGCCGGAATTGAAGTGGCAATAGGATTACCATTATTCAATGTAAATTGAACATAATAAGCGGCGCTCATAGTGTCTGTTCCAGAAAAATTCAACTAAAAAATTATATAAGGGAAATTTTTAATGATCTATTTAAGAATATGAAACAATTAACATCACGATATCATATTATTACAAACCAAATGAGCTGAACCACCAATAATTGATTGCTCAATGCAAGTAGTTCCTCGAAATCCAAAATCATGTAATCGACTAAATCAATCATTTTTTGAAGTTAATATCCGTGTAATAATGTTTCGTGAGTTTGGTAGGTAGTACAAGGGGCAAAAGATGCAATAATACATTTTTTCTCATGTCATAAATGTATACCTTTCCAATGACCAGTATCCATCATCATCAACTGTTTCTTGATAAGCTTTTTCTATTCGGTCACGTGCGCGACGCGAAAGAGTTGCAACCGTTGTTGGATACTTTAAAAATCAAGACAATGAATAAGGATAATTAAAATGAATGATAAAAAGGAAGAAAAAAAAAATTGTTTTTGATGATAATTACCCAAACCATAGTAAGTTGCGTTTCCAAAAATGTGACCAACGAAGAATATTCTTTCTCGGCAGTGATCTGAAAAACTGGAGTATGCACATGACATGAAGTACCTTCTGGTAAAGCTTCAATTTTTACCGGAAAATATCCATCATTTTCTTTGATAAACTAAAAGATTGATGATAAATAATTGATATTGAAAATAGAAATAATAATAAAAATAATAATAATAATAATAATTTTTTACCTTTAGAAACAAATCTTTAGGGAACGGAAAGGGTGTAAATCCAGCATTATGAGTAGAAAAAAACTTTTCAGCCAAATCCACATCCTTTTGAGTCCATTTAATAGCAATATAGTTTTCAATTCTTTTATTTTTTTACAATTTAATTTATTTATTTTTTTTGATTACGTAAGATCAAACCATCGAATTCAAAACCATTGAATTCAAACCATCAAATTGTTATGTATAAAAATTTTTTTTTTTTATTAATTTTTAAAAATTAAAAAACAAATAGAATTAAATTAAATAAATTAAATATGTTTAAAAATGAATTTACATGTATCGGATTCCACAGAACAAAACACGCGTATCTTCTTTATCATTATCATAACTTTTCCTAAACTCTCCATATGCAACACTCTATAAAATATATATATATATATATATATGCATAAAAAAAATAATAATAAAATAATAAATAATTATCATTACAATTTTTTTTTTTTTTCAAAAAAAAGTACGTGTAAACACCTTTACGGAATCAGGAAATAAGAGTGAGTGAGAAGGTTTATAAGAATCAGTCATAACCAAAAGTGGAAGACCTCGAAAGCCAGACATGTTGTTATAAGTCAAGTGAGTTCAAGTTTTAAATTTACAAACTCTGTCATATATATAAAAAAGGTGAAAGTGAGAAAAAAAAAGACTTGTTAATATATGGTTCAAACGATTATATTTACCTGCAAAAAGGTTGATACTTCCACAAAATAAAATTCAACCCTTTTATATTTAAATTAATTTTTTTTTTTGTGGGAAAAAAAATTACATTTAAATGATATGATTTGGTTTTTTTTATCAACCGAATTTTTATCGTTACATGGCTAGTTCCATATATGAGATATTCATTAAGAGCATGATGGATCATATGTTTGATTTTTTAACCTCTTTTTTATTATACTATACATAGTTAGTTATATTGTTTTTTTTCAGTTATGATAAAGTTGATAGTTGATACGATAATGATTCACTTGCTAATTTCATTATTTGCTGATTTAAGGTATATTGTCTGGCCAATCATCATTCACAATACGTCTTCCAAGAATTGATATGCTGCGCATAGCTAACCCGCATTAGGAATTGCAAATTACAAAAAATTACAATACAACAGATAATTATTATGAGTGACTGTGACGCAATATACAGGTAACATAAATAATATATACGACCACAAAATTACCTATAAAAATTTAATTTTGGCCAAGAATGTTTGGCCTAATTAATATATCATCCCGGGTATTTAAAATTAAAAATTCAAAAATCTCCAAAATCTCAATAATTTCCTCTTATATTATCAAGAAATCAAAATTAAGTTCTTATCATGTTGCAACATATTCAACCACGTCAACTTCTACATCATCACCTTTTAAACAACAAAAAGAACCCTTAGATGAAGATCAAGATCAATTAACGGATCAAAAAGATCAAAAACCAATTTTAGCACTTCCTGAACATTCCGAAGAATCCGTAAAAGAATCTGAGAATGACGATGTAAAAAAACGTGGCTTAGACAATAGTTACAAATTAAGAAATCTGGGACCTGTAGTAGTTAATGAAGATGGAAGAATTAATATAATTAACAATTGGTAAGTATTATTCTATTTTCCCCCTTAAGTGGCTTATTCTTATGGATCTAAAATAGCTTTATTATAAATAATAAATAATAAGGCATGAAATGACGGATCTTGAAAGGGAGAAAGTAAAAAAAATGATTTTAACAAGGAATCGGAAAAGATTGGAAGCTTTTAAAAAGAAAGAACAAGAATAATGAAAAAATCACATCAAGTTGCAGATAGAACAATTAAAGTTAATGGGGAGTAATTAATTACATATCCTACATATCCTACATGATTTACATCTAAATTCTTTTTTTCGTTGATTCAGAATTCGTCATAATCAATTGTTCAAAAAATAAATTTATATTGTTATTATTAAAAGTAATGCAAAGACATTAACTGTATGTACATTGACTGTAGCTGTATAAAGTCTGTAAATTTAATATTAATTGAACTTTAAAAAAAAAAAAAAAAATATACATAAAGTTTAAATCTATTTATATATTGAAATTATTTTACATCAAACGTTTCAGGGATTTTTTTTTTCGCCATCATCTAAATATAATTTTAAAGTTTTTTTTAAAAAAAATTATTTATAAATTATTTTTTTTTTTATAATGAAATTTGATAAACCATATAAAGTTATAAATCATAATAAACCATAATAAATTATTATTATAAATTATTATAAATTTATTCGGGGGTTTTCTTTTTTAAAAAAGGGAGGTTTCATTTATGTCCTAAAATAATAATAATAAAAAATTCTTTTCATTATTCAAACTTTAAATTATAACTCAACTTTCTATATTATGTATACAATGTATAATATATAATTCTTTTTTTGAATAATTATATTAGATTATGTAAGTGATGTAAAAAAAATAATAATAATAATAAAAAAAAAAATATGCATTTATATGCAAAATGCAAATAATAAAAAATATGACACAGATGTTATTTATGCAATAAAAAGCCTCAATTTATATTTTATTGGATTTTACGCTAATATTATTCTGTTTAATCTTTCGGTTCATCAGTTTATTCTTCCAAAAATGAAAAAGGCTTTTTTTTGATTTTCCCTTTTTGACTGATTTTTTAAAAAACAATGAAACTTTTTTTTTTATACATATTTTATTTATTTTATTTTTATATTTTATTTATTATTTTTTTTTACAGTTTTTTACAGCCTTTACAGCCCTTTTAAGATAAAAAATCATTTATTATAAAATTATTGTACATAATTTATAATTTATTTATTTTATTATTTTATTATCGATAAAATTCTATGCTATAAATTTATAAAGATTCGATAATTGACAAAATTTTTAAAGTGCCAATTCGCACCAGATTATTACATATGGTAACATTATAATAAGAATCTTTTATAACGCTAAACGTAAAAATCATTATTTATTTATGGCATTGTTCAAATTTGTCCGCTCTACAAATATCAATACTGTAGCAAAAAAATTGGAATCCACATTTTTAAAAATCTTGCACTTTATAGTACTACGGCCCTACCACAAGGGACTTCCTAAGAAGCGCACTATGCTCCTCCCATGAAAATTACGCATAGCACCATGCCGTACCACAACCAACCAGCCCTACTGTGAGACTACAGCAAAAGCTGGTACTCACAGGCTTACAAAGTAAGCA